CACAATGCCCCTGTGCACAAAGCGAGGTCCATAAAGAAATGGTTTGTCGAGATCGGTGTGAAAGAACTTGACTGGCATGCACAGAGCCCTGACCTCAACCCCATCGAACACCTTTGGGATGAATTGGAACGCCGACTGCGAGCCAGGCCTAATCTCCCAACATCAGTGCCCGACCTCACTAATGCTCTTGTGGCTGAATGGATGCAAGTCCCCGCAGCAATGTTCCAACATCTAGTGGAAAGCCTTCCCCGAAGAATGGATGCTGTTAGAGTAGCAAAGAGGGGGATGGGGGGGGGGGGGGGGGGGGGGCTGTGGGGGGGTGGTACAACTCCATATTAATGCCCATGATTTTGGAATGAGATGTTCAACGAGCAGGTGTCCACATACTTTTGGTCATGTAGTGTATTGCTCTCATGCATGGTTCAGTGTTGCTTGCCTCGAGGCGAGCATAGAAGACATTGAGCTCGTCTGGTAGGCTCGCATCAATGGGAAACTCGCGCCTGGGTTTCCCTTTGTAATCCGTGCTAGTTTGCAAGCCCTGCCACATCTGCCACAGCAGGAAAAAACTCAAAGAGATCACAGACTATTTCAACCTGACTCAAATAATACAAGGACCAACCAGAGTAACACAGACACCCCAGACTCAAATTAATCTGGTGTTTACTAACAGACCTGATCAAATAACTAAGTCCATTAATTTACTAACTGGCATATCTGACCACAATGTTACATTGGTGGTTAGAAAGCTCACAAAAAATAGATTTAAGAACCATTTTAATGTGCAACGGTATGAAAAAAATATCCAGAAAAGTGAGCAGAGTAACTACGATGCAGCTATAAGTCAAATTGACTGGTCTGATCAGTTAAGCAACCCAGAGTCTGGATACAGAACGTTTCTGTCAACTATTGACAAAGTGGATACCTCTTTTACCAGGACATTTCTACGTAAGCCAAGACGGAAAACCTCTCTACTATGGCTCAACGAGGACCTCTGGAGGCAGATGAGAGAACGGGATCTTTCCTTGAAAAAAGCACTGAAGTCTGGTAAGAATGATGACAGATGTATATTTACGTCACTGAGAAATAAGGTGGTAAGCAATATAAGAAAAGCAAAAGCAGAGTTCTTTCTCAGAGTGATCAATGAAGCAAAAGGAAATGGCAAAGTGATTTGGGAAACTCTCAACAAACTAACAGGGAGAGGAGCTGAAAATTCAAAAAAACATCCTGAATTAAAGGTTAATGGGATTCTAATTGAAGACTCCAATTTCATATCCACCACCCTTAACAATTTTTTGTTGACTCTGTCAGGGAACTGGCTCAAAGATGTTCCACCAAGACCACAGTTCTCACTCCCATGGATAATAATAAAGCAATATTTAGAATTCCTGAAATCTCAGCATCAGCAGTGGACAGTATTATAAGCTTCTTCAGGAGCTCTAGAACAAAATATGTATTTGGTCTAGACACTGTATTCCTGAAGAGACACAAATATTCTCTGATTGCCACTTTTGTACATCTAGTTAATCTGTCCATCAAATATGGGATTTTCCCCAATGCTTGAAAGTCTGCTGCAGTGATACCTGTTTAAAATCTGGTGACCCAACACTGGTGGAAAATTACAGACCTATAAGCATTCTTCCAGTCTTAGCTAAAGTAGCTGAAAGATGGGTGGCTGAACATCTGACTGATCACCTCAATCAGGGCAACTCCATACATCAAATGCAATTTGGATTCAGAACTAACCATTCTACCGAAACAGCCAATTGCTATTTTCTGGAGTGCATTAAATCTAAAGGTGGTGAAGTCAGCGTAGTCTTTTTGGATCTTAAGAAGGCCTTTGATACTGTGAATCATGAGGTTCTCCTATCCAAACTATCCTCCCTTAATGTGTCCACTGAAGCCATTAGTTGGATGTATTCCTATCTGACAAACAGAAGTGAAAGGGTTCGTCTGGGGGACACTCAGTCGGACTCTCTTTACTATAACATTGGGGTCCCACAAGGCTCAATATTAGGCCCCCTTCTGTTTACATCTATATAAATGATCTCCCACTTGCTTGCCCACAAGTTAACATGCAGATGTATGCAGACGATACAGTCCTGCATGTACACTACCGGTCAAAAGTTTTAGAACACCTACTCATTCAAGGGTTTTTCTTTATTTTTACTATTTTCTACATTGTAGAATAATAGTGAAGACATCAAAACTATAAAATAACACATATGGAATCATGTAGTAACCAAAAAAGTGTCAAACAAATCAAAATATATTTTATATTTGAGATTCTTCAAATAGCCACCCATGATTCCATATGTGTTATTTCATAGTTTTGATGTCTTCACTATTATTCTACAATGTAAACATTAGTTATCTGTGGTTCCTCATATGTAAGATGACTGTTTTTATTACGAATAAGTTGTTGTTGTTAGAATGATATACTATTGGATGTAATGTATTTGTATTTTGTAATTGTTTTAGTGTGTATTTCTATTGTGGCTGTGTAATTGCCCTTACCTGAACGGGCGCAAATTAGCTTTTGGCTAACCCCGGCACATTTACATGGATGTTGCATTATTGTAATATTGATGCTGATTAATGTGCATTGTCCCCTATAAATAAATAAATAAAATAAAATCTGACAAGCATCAGAGCCAGTATAGTAGGATTAGATCTTGGTCCTTTATTGATGCTTTGTCTGTTTGATGGTTCGTTGGAGGGCGTAGCGGGATTTCTTATTAGCGTCCTGATTAGTGTCCCGCTCCTTGAAAGCGGCAGCTCTAGCCTTCAGCTCAGTGCGGATGTTGCCTGTAATCCATGGCTTCTGGTTGGTATACAGTGGGGAGAACAAGTATTTGATACACTGCCGATTTTGCAGGTTTTCCTACTTACAAAGCATGTAGAGGTCTGTAATAAAAACAAAAATCCAGAAAATCACATTGTATGATTTTTAAGTAATTAATTTGCATTTTATTGCTGTCCATCAAATCATACAATGTGATATTCTGGATTTTTGTTTTAGATTCCGTCTCTCACAGTTGAAGTGTACATATGATAAAAATTACAGACCTCTACATGCTTTGTAAGTAGGAAAACCTGCAAAATCGGCAGTGTATCAAATACTTGTTCTCCCCACTGTATGCACATAGAGTCACTGTACGGACGACATCGTCGATTCACTTATTAATGAAGCCGGTGACTGATGTGGTATATTCCTCAATCCCGGAACATGTTCCAGTCTGTGATAGCGAAACAGTCCTGTAGCATCCGCTTCATCTGACCACTTCCGTACTGGTCACTTGTACTTCCTGTTTGAGTTTTTGCTTGTAAGCAGGAATCAGGAGGATAGAGTTATTGTAGGATTTGCCAAATGGAGGGCGAGGTAGACCTTTGAACACGTCTCTGTTTGTGGAGTGAAGGTGATCTAGAGTTTTTTTCCCTCTAGTTGCACATGTGACATGCTGGTAGAAATGAGGTCAAACGGATTTCAGTTTTCCTGCATTAAAGTCCCCGGCCACTAGGAGCACCGCCTCTGGATGAGCATTTTCTTTTTTGCTTATGGCCTTATACAGCTCGTTGAGTATTGTCTTAGTTCCAACATCGGTTTATGGTGGTAAATAGACAGCTACGAATAATATAGATGAAAACTCTCTTGGTAAATAGTGTGGTCTACAGCTTGTCATGAGGTCATCTAACTCAGACGAGCAAAATCTAGAGCCTTCCTTAATATTAGAGATTGCGCATCAGCTGTTGTTGACAAAGAGACACACACCAACCTCCCTGACCTTACCGGAGGCTGCTGTTCTGTCTTGCCAGTGCACAGACAACCCAGCTAACTGTATATTATCCATATCCCAACTGTATATTAGCCATGACTATGAAACATAGGATATTACAGTTTTAAATGTCCCGTTGATAGGATAGTCTGGAACGGAGCTCATACAGTTTATTCTCCAGTGATTGCATGTTCGCCAGTAGAACAGAGGGTAAAGGTGGATTATCTACTAGCTGACCCAGTCTCGCCAGGCATCCAGCTCTATGACCTCTGTAACGGCGTTTCCTCTGCATGCGAATGACGGTGATTTGGGCCTGGTCTGGAAGGAGCAGTATATCCTTTGCGTCCAATTCATTTAAAAATAATCCTCATCCAGTTTGAGGTGAGTAATCACTGTTCTGATGTCCAGAAGCTATTTTCGGTCATAACAAGCGATGGCGGATACATTATGTACAAAAAAGTTAAAAACAGCGCAAGAAAACACACAAAATAGCACAATTGGTCAGGAGCCCGTAAAACGGCGGCCAACCCCTCCGGCGCCATTCTTTTTACTCTTCCATCTCTGCTGGAGCGACCATATACAGTACAGTCATTGGGAGCAACGCACTTGTGTTGAGTTTGTTTTGATTGGACAGGAAGTGTAGTTTAATGAAACACCAGCAGAAACTCATCAGCCAATCAAATGCATGGGAATAGAAGGGAGGGGGGGCAGTGATTGAAGGTTAAATAATCAAATAAAATTACCAAGTAGATCTGTGCCAGTACAGAGGGATAGGCCAATGAGTGATATATGCTTCAGTAAGATTGGCTTTTTATCATTCATAGCAATGGTTATCAACTGTACTGCAGGGATGGAACTTAAGTCTCAGAAAATAAAGTATTTGGGTGTACGAGATTTGACGTCAGAAGAGTTACAGTAATGGTGTTCCGTCCTTCCAGGCCGTTGGCTAGATACAGTAGGTTTAAATAGTGTGGGTTTAATGAGTGTATGGTTAGATGTTTTTTTGTTTTTGTTTTTTTTCCCATGCAAATTATAAGGGATTTATACTTTTATATTTACATTTTTCTTAAGGGTAGCTTTAGTGTAGCTTAACTTCTTCCAGTAAAAAGTAATTGGTAGCTCGATAAACTATACTTTCATAGTAGCTTCCTCAACACTGTTATTTTGTGGATATTGCAAAGGTATAGAATAATGGAAAATGTGACAGAACTAATTTAACTCTCTCTGCTAGTTCTTCACTGGGCAGACGCGAGAGAGGATAGGGTTTATCATGTTCTTGATGATTGGGGGGCGAGGGTGGATATCGTGGGTGAGGTGGGGAGCAAGGGTCATCTCCAAGGCGTCCACTAACAAGATATTCAGGCCCCTGAACATGGCCTTGAGCACCCTGTCCAGTTGCACTGAAAACCAGTCACAGATGATGAGGCTCTCCTGTATGCTTTGGGCACGGAGGTTAGCCGAGCACACCACTACCACGGTCCCTGGAGCCCGGTCCAGAAGCTGCACCACCGCCCTTTGAATGTGGCGTAGTTGGTGAATGTAGAACTGCACAGGGAAGGTGCTGAAATGAGCCCAAACGCTGATGACTACAACAGTGTCTGAGCCAAGCCATCCAGCTCGTTAGCTACATAGCGCAGCTGACTGATAATGAGAGGGGTCCAGGAGGAGGGGGGACCGTGGCTGCGGTCCTTCAGCAGGATGTTGTGGGGGATGTCCATCGCCATGAAGGGCCCTGCGCTCACAGGACTTTGAAGGTTGAACTCCTTCAGCTCTTTGACAGAGAGAGAGGAAGATAAATGTTTGAGGGAGAGCGAGAGAGATAATTTGAACATTCCTGAGACAGCCAAGTGTGAGATAGTATTGGCAAACAGCACTCAACTGGCAAGAAGCTGTTGAGGAACTTGTAGTACTTTCTGACGGTGGCGTCTCCGTACATGTAATAATAATAATATGCCATTTAGCAGACGCTTTAATCCAAAGCGATTTACAGTCATGGGTGCATACATTTTTTTTGTGTATGGGTGGTCCCGGGGATCGAACCCACTACCTTGGCGTTACAAGCGCCGTGCTCTACCAGCTGAGCTACAGATGGACCATGTACACCACCTTGCCCTTCAGACACTGAGTAATGGCAGTGGGGTCGTTAAACTGGCGCATCACGAAACCACCCAGAGCCCACCATGACCCTTGGAAGTAATACCCAGAGCGAGTGGTCCTGATAGGCACTGCCTTTGCACTGCTGCTTTCCACCTCTTGTTTGTCTGAAATACAACATTTACATTACATTACATTTTAGTCATTTAGCAGACGCTCTTATCCAGAGCGACTTACAGTTAGTGAATACATATTTTTTTATACTGGCCCCCCGTGGGAATCGAACCCACAACCCTGGCGTTGCAAACGCCATGCTCTATCAACTGAGCTACATCCCTGCCGGCCATTCCCTCCCCTACCCTGGGCCAATTGTGCACCGCCCATGAGTCTCCCGGTCGCGGCCGGCTGCGACAGAGCCTGGATTCGAACCAGGATCTCTAGAGGCACAGTTAGCACTGCGATGCAGTGCCTTAGACCACTGCGCCACTCAGGAGTATAAAACAACTTTCTATTGCTGGATTCAAACTTGCAACCTTTGGAATCAGAGGCAGATGCTTACGCCCATCCGCCATTCCCAACACCCAAAAGGAGGCATGATGCACCAGCTACCATCACTTTACAGGTAGTAATTTTTCTTCACACTACACACATACTCCTAGCTGTTTTCTTAGGCGGCACAGTGACACTGTGAATACGTGCTATAAGGTTGACGCCACTAAACAAGTTTGAGAATAATTTAAAATGTAAAGCAAGCGATACCATTCACCTGAACCACACTCTGTAATTGTACATATAAAAAAGGCTAAAATATTGCCTTTTTACCCCGCACTTACCTTTGGAAGAGCAGTGCTTCTTTGTCGGTTATTAGATCTTTCTGGTAGCCTGCCCAGAAGTTGTTGATCTGTGTTTCACAGCTCAGCAGCTGCTTTGGCTTGTAGCAATACCAGGGTTTACCCGTGTGGGGGTCTGTGTAACTGCACAGCGGCTGCTGGTTGGTCGGCAGGCACGGGTGTCAGACAATATTCCAGAGCGGAACAGGCTCTTGTAAAGTACCCGGTCGTTGTGTTCCTCACGTAAACTTCGTAGAACAGGAACTGCCTTACTAGGATGGACCAGTGTCACCTCCACCCATACAGACCCATCCCACAGTAACAGAAAAATGGCAGGTCCCATTCCCGTTGTCCAGGATCCTTCCAGCAAGAAGTCCCCACCATGGCTCTTGGGACGTCCTGGAAATCTTTCATAAGGACCAGAGCCTCCAGCTGGTCCACCACATGCCACTCTCTTCTACCCCCTGCTGGCAGGATTGCAAACAGGCTGTGTGCATGGTCACTGGTCTGGTCCAGGGGTGAAGGCGTAGGCCGGGATGGAGGCTCTAGCCTGGTGATGGATTCCAGGAGGTAACGTTCCATCAGAGCCTCCTCAGTTGAGGGCTCCTTGCCCAGGTGGCTACAGAAGCTTCGCTCGTGATCCAGAGGAGGAGGGCCCTCTGAGTGGATGCTGCATAGGTCAAATTTTCCACCTGATTGCACCAGGTGAAAAGTGATTGCATTAGTTTTGAAACCGGGCTGCCTCCCGGGTGTGAGCAAGGTGCCCCGTTCAAAGCCCACGGTGAAGTCGGCTCAAAACAAAGTGACGTATGTCAAGAACGTGGAGTAATAATTTAGGATTAGAGCATTCACATGCAAAGTGTTGTATGCTCTTGGTAAAAAAAACGAATATGTACTTTATCTGCTTTCCCAAGTAGAACTGGTTTGAAAATGTTAACATATATTTTATGGAAAATACATATTGTATGTTTCTGAACGATGAACCATGCTGTCTTGTTGACAATATGACCTGATGGTGCAGATTACTGTTGGATTTGAGCTGGGCGCTCTTCCCTCACCGCTTTTGCCTATTTACGTCACGGCCATAGCACGGTCCACCCCAGTCCAGCTTAATTAAACTCCCTAAATATAAGGGCTACTTTATGGCATGGTAGTGTTCACAGTAGAATACAAATCTAATTCTATTTATATTGTAGTCCCATTATCCTCCCCCACTGACTTCTTGTACTTGCCATTTTGTTTATTGCAAGTCAAACTTTCATTTGCATGCCAGTAAATATTGTCAACGTTACAGTATTTAATTATTATATCCCAAGGGGGACAGTCCCAGAGACTCTGTAAGCGGGCAGATGATCTATGATAAGGAATGGAATCAGTCTGATTGTTATGAGTTCCTGTTGTCTGAGTTGAAGGCTACAAAAGTAATTTTTGAAAGAAAAGCCTTTTCTATATTAGCTAATTTACCCCAGACCTGACAGTGTGCCTTTCAACTAATCTATTTTGTGTTCCAACCCTCAGGGCAACCCCAGCAGCTCCTCCAGCAGACGTTGCTTCCTCCTGTCTTCCAAATACTGCTGACCAAGCTGCCCACCATCAGACAGGTAAGGATGCTCTCCCATGGGAAGCAAGGGCTGGAGGGGCATCAAAATGGCTGAAAGATGCCCCCCCCACACTCTTCTGGGAAGGCTTTCTGCTAGATGTTGGAACATTGCTGCGGGGACTTGCTTCCATTCAGCCACAAGAGCATTAGTGAGGTCGGGCACTGATGTTGGGAAATTAGGCCTAGCTCGCACTCCGTGTTCCAATTCATCCCAAAGGTGTTTGATGGGGTTGAGGTCAGGGATCTGTGCAGGCCAGTCAAGTTCTTCCACACCGATGTCGACAAACCATTTCTGTATGGACCTCATTTTGTGCACGGGGGCATTGTCATGCTGAAACAGGAAAGGGCCTTCCCCAAACTGTTGCCACAAAGTTGGAAGCACAGAATCGTCTACAATGTCATTGTATGCTGTAGCGTTAAGATTTCCCTTCACTTGAACTAAGGGGCCTTGCCCGAACCATGAAACACAGCCCCAGACCAGTATTCCTCCTCCACCAAACTTTACAGTTGGCACTATGCATTCAGGCAGGTAGCATTCTCCTGGCATCCACCAAACCCAGATGTGTCTTTCGGACTGCCAGATGGTGATTCATCACTCCAGAGAATGTGTTTCCATTGCTCCAGAGTCCAATGGCGGCGAGCTTTACACCACTCCAGCCAACGCTTGGCATTGCACATGGTGATCTTAGGCTTGTGTGCGGCTGCTCGGCCATGGAAACCCATTTCATGAAGCTCCCGACCAACAGTTATTTTGCTGATGTTGCTTCCAGAGGCAGTTTGGAACTCGGTAGTGAGTGTTGCAACCGAGGACAGACAATTTTAACGCTACTTGGCTGTCCCGTTCTGTGAGCTTGTGTGGCCTACCGCTTCACGGCTGAGCCGTTGTTGCTCCTAGACATTTCCACTTCACAATAACAGCACTTACAGTTGACCGGGGCAGCTCTAGCGGGGCAGCTTTTGCAGGGCAGACATTTGACAAACTGACTTGTAAAGGTGGCATCCTATGATGGTACCACGTTGAAAGTCACTGAGCTCTTCAGTAAGGTCATTCTACTGCCAATGTTTGTCTATGGATATTGTATGACTGTGTGCTCGATTTGATACACCTGTCAGCAACGGGTGTGGCTGAAATAGATAGTATATCATCTTGAGTTGTACATGGATAATCTGTGTTTTAGATTTCCATCCATGCTAACCTTTTCGCATAATGTTTGCACATTTTTCACAGGAGGTTCTGGCTGATGACCTGTCTCCATAGCTGATAGAAACCGAGAAGAAATATCGTCCCCAATGATACTACTAATATTTTCTAATTGTACTGATGTGGAAGGGCACACTTGTCTACTGAACTGCTTGAAGTGTTCAGTAAAAATGACAGTGCCACTTTGTTACCATCTACAAAATACAGAAATGTTGCTCTACAATGAGGTTCTGCCAATCATATGTTGGAAACCATTATCAAGGAAACCTACAGTAGTTGAACACTTTGTGTAGATAGTAACCAGTTTACAGAACACCAGTGATTCTAAGAACAAGAATAACTGTTACCTGTAGGACAATGTCACTATCACAGGGCACAGTAATGTATATCCTTAATAAAATAATTTGTGGTGGTTAATTGTGCAATATAGTTATACCTATGGCTTGCATAACCAACTCAACTTTGGGTTGCAGATTTAACAGTATTGAGTCAAGGAACAGCTTTACTGCTCAAGAAAATATGGCATCACAGTACTGAAGGGGCAGAGCAGGCAGGTGGGCTTCCTGTCCCTGATGGTGCCATGACAGATATGACAACCAGCAGCTTTTGTAAATACTGTCCCACCAAGGACTAACTCAGAATAATAGCCAAAGCTGTGTCGCATTAGTGGAAACCAAGACTGTTCTCAAGCCAGCTGTGCCAGTTTTGACTAGCAGAAGTTATTTTTCATATCAGGTAGGAGAACTTAAGCAGCAGGTTAGGATAATTAGGTTAGGGTTAAGAAATGGGTTAGGGTTAGTTAACATGCTTCAATTGTCCCTAACGCAACTTAAGCATATCTAGCTACAACAGGTACCATCCTGTAGGTTTTCGCTCCTACCCTAATCTAGCGCACCTGATTCTAATAATTAGCTGGTTGATAAGCTTAATCAGGTTAGTTACAACTGGGGTTGAAACAAAACCTAAAGAAGGGGAGCTATCCAGGAACAGGGCTGGAGAGCCCTGAGCTACAACCAGGTCTGCCCTGAGAACAGTCCTGGTTTCCACTAATGCAGGGGTAAGCAACTCTGTTCCTGGAGAGCCGCAGGGTATGTAGGATTTTGCTTTAACAGATCAGGAAGACAAGGTGTGTTAAATTTAGTTAGTCACTGAACTGACCAACTGAGCTAATTGATCAGTTATGTGATTGACTAAATTGAACACACCTGGACTAACAGGTCAGTTAAAGCAACATCCTGTATACCCTGCGGCTCTCCAGGAACAGGGTTGCCTACCCCAGCACTAATGCAATGCTGCATGGCCAAAGGGGTCCTTCTCCCTTGCTCTCTCTCACACACAGTCACTGTGCAAAAAAACAACAACATATACAGTACCAGTCAAAAGTTTGGACATTCTACATTGTAGAATAATGGTGAAGACATCAAAACTATGAAATAACACATATGGAATCATGTAGTAACCAAAAAAGTGTTGAACAAATCAAAATATGTTTTATATTTGAGATTCTTCAAAGTAGCCACTCTTTGCCTTGATGACATCTTTGCACACTCTTGGCATTCACTCAACCAGCTTCACCTGGAATGCTTTTCCAACAGTCTTGAAGGAGTTCCCACATATGCTGAGCACTTGTTGGCTGCTTTTCCTTCACTCTGCGGTCCAACTCATCCCAAACCATCACAATTGGGTTGAGGTCGGGTGATTGTGGAGGCCAGGTCATCTGATGCAGCACTCCATCACTCTCCCTCTTGGTCAAATAGCCCTTACACAGCCTGGAGGTGTGTTGGGTCATTGTCCTGTTGAAAAACAAATGATAGTCCCACTAAGCGCAAACCAGATGGGATGGCGTATAGCTGCAGAATGCTGTGGTAGCCATGCTGGTTAAGTGTGCCTTGAATTCTAAATAAACACTGACAGTGTCACCAGCAAAGCACCCCCACACCATCACACCTCCTCCATGCTTCACGGTGGGAACCACACATGCGGAGATAATCTGTTCACCTACTCTGCGTCTCAGAAAGACACGGCAGTTGGAACCAAAAATCTCAAATTTGGACTCATCAGACTAAAGGACAGATTTCCACCAGTCTAATGTCCATTGCTCGTGTTTCGTAGCCCAAGCAAGTCTCTTCTTCTTATTGGTGTCCTTTAGTAGTGGTTTCTTTACAGCAATCTGACCATGAATTGTATTTTATGACCTTATGTTTTTTTTACCCCATATGTAACTCTGTGTTGTTGTTTTTATCACACTGCTTTGCTTTATCTTGGCCAGGTCGCAGTTGTAAATGAGAACTTGTTCTCAACTGGCTTACCTGGTTAAATAAAGGTGAAAAATAAAATAAAAAATGAAGACCTGATTCACGCAGTCTCCTCTGAACAGTTGATGTTGAGATGTGTCTGTTACTTGAACTCAGTGAAGCATTTCTTTGGGCTGCAATTTCTGAGGCTGGTAACTCTAATGAACGTATCCTCTGCAGCAGAGGTAACTCTGGGTCTTCCTTTCCTATGGCGGTCCTCATGAGAGCCAGTTTCATCATAGCGCTTGATGGTTTTTGTGACTGCACTTGAAGAAACTTTCAAAGTTCTTGAGATTTTACGTATTGACTGACCTTCATGTCTTAAAGTAATGATGGACTGTCATTTCTCTTCGCTTATTTGAGCTGTTCTTGCCATAATATGGACTTGGTCTTTTACCAAGTAGGGCTATCTTCTGTATAGCCCCCTACCTTGTCACAACACAACTGATTGGCTCAAACACATTAAGAAGGAAAGAAATTCCACAAA